CGAYGCAGGAATGTTTAGTGGCCATCGAGAAGTCTTATTCTCAGGGTCCTGACCTACTACAGCTTGTTTTTTTTAGTGGATAGAGAAGGATGGCCATGGCGGGGGAGGGAAGGAGGGGAGCAGAAAGGCTTATCTCCACCCTCTGTCCTTTAAGAAGGCTAAGAAATTCTTTAAGTAGTGACTAACACAACAGTTAACACACTTGATTTCTCGGCAGCAGCTAACATCCCAGAACAAACTGACCTCAGAGACACTTACTTACTCAGCTTGTACACTAATTTGGTTTTAAGCACCATTATGAGCTAATTCTCTTATAATTTTAAGTTATCTGTGACCTACTCCCCGAATTTACTATTAATAGAATTCATTACCTTCCTTTCGCAGCCATGAGTGGGAGTATTTAAACAGGGCAAACATAAGCTTCCCTCCGTTTTGCACCAGAACACACAAKTCCTGGTGTTAAGCACACCAAACACCTTATCACTTGATGGCGCAGTAAATCCTTACACRGAAAGGACAAAAATTTATTCTAGGCTAAACCTATAGCTAGCAATCCACAAGTTAAGTGTTTTTAGTTAATATGTCATCCACAGTAATATTATGCTTCTACAACTATAAACACTCAAAAAAGGTAAATTGAGATTATGAGCTTTGGGATATGAAAAAAAAATTTCGGGTTTCAGTGCAGTTACACCAATATTCCTGGAAGAAAAGTAAGATTAAAACTTGTCCTGTGCAGAGTTCCACCTCCTGCAGTTGGAAGGCATGCACTCGGTGGGCCAGATGGATTTGGGCGCTCTGGGTTATTGCGTCTTTTCGGAAGGAGTGCCTGGCACTACACCCGCCTCCCTCCCGGAGGGCTTATGGCAGCCCGGCTCACCTCAAACGCCATAAGCTGTTTACAGAGTGCCAGAGGCCTGCCTGAGGGCTCGCGTGTTGCTTCCAGCTCTTTTCCAGGATTCATGTTTAATCCAGCATCGAGCAGGTATGGAGGACTTGTCTAGCTGCTAAATGCCAAGTGCACTAGCTTGTTATTAATAACAGGACTGGCAAAAACATTCTGCGTCATCAACTCCTGTCSCCTACTCCTACAGGCAGCTGCAGTAAGTTGTATCGAGCTTTATCGCAAGGGTTGTTAAAACTTGCAACAGTCTCCCAAGTCCACCAGCAGTGGCAAGGACCTTAAGAGCTCTAATGCTACAAGTTCTGCCTGAAGCAGCTCTGCCTTTTCTTTTGGATTTTAAACCCTTACATTTTACAGCTAAAGGTAACTTGTTTTAGTCTACCATGCTAAACAAGGCTTTCTGCCTCCTGTCRTCTCAAACCCATCTCGGAGCTCTCCTTTGGGCTCATCTTTCCATGCACAAGGATAACAGGAATTGCAACCTACGTTCAAGGCCGTAACTCAAGAGCACCTCATATTAATGCATTTCCTTAAAGAAATCCCATACATTATAGCACTTGTGGACAAGGCAGTCATCCCTATCACTAATTTACCCACATCCTTCTATTTCACATCCCCACAAATTCATCTATTGAAATAGGACTCCATTACCCCAGTGCTTCAGTGCTCTTCATACAGTGGCCCTTACAACAACAGCCCAGCAGCTGGGCATTAGCAGGTTTCATTAGCATGCTCAGCTTTAATTGCCTGTTTTCAGAAAGTTTTAGATAAGGTTTCCTCTTGGTATTATCCACGTGTGCTCCCTGTGCCAGACTGCACTTACTGCTCTCCTCTTTGAACAGTTTTACTCGCTCACAAGCACCGCATATTCTTGTGTGACATTGCACCCAACTCTCCCCTGCAGCTTAAATAAAGATAAACTCATTGCTTGTCAATCTAAGTGCTTTTCTTTTCTTTCTCCCCCCTGGTAAGAGGGGACAAGAAATGCACCTTGAATAAGGTAACAAAGAATACTGATAGGTCAGATCAAATTAACAGGGCTACAGAACAGGTATCATGTTTCCTTCTCTTCCTGTAAGCAATGTTCACCAGACCCTAGTCACACATTACCGGCCACAGTTTATTAGACCCATTGTTTTGCAAAAAAAGACATGATTTAGCTAAAATGCTGCCCCTTCTATCCCTCTAATGAATTACACAGAAACAGGCTAATACCATATGCACCTAGGGAAAACACAACAAGCAGAGACATTCCAGTAAGGAAWAGGGATACAAGGTTGATCAAGGAAGATGTTTATTTAGCTTTTCATTTATTTTCACATAGTACAGCAAGATTTGGACGAAATGACACCTCCTGTATTTCCTCATGTAATAACTTACCATYTGGGTAATGTAATTATCACTGTCTACACTAGATGGAATTTTGAACTGTTGATGAAATGCAGTAATCTCAGTTGAAAATACATGACTTTGTACCAAAAAACCCCACATACTTTAGACTACTGAAGAAATCTTGTTAATTTGTTACTATCACCCTTTGCAGAACGTTCATGCCAAATTACAAATTGAAGCTACCTGAAAGCCTCTATAATGAATATTTTATTTCAGAATTATTTTCTGGATTATTACAGTTGATTTTGAGGCATGCATCAGAAAAAGCTAAGTAATTACTATTAAATGTAGCCACATAATCTGGAATACAGTCTTGGGTACTCAGCACAAATAAAAGATGAATACTTTTCTAGTGTTAAGGCACTTGCTGATTAATAATGTTAAAAAAACCTTCAAAAATGTGTAAGCTCTGCTTGAATGCCTATTAATAAAACAGAAGCTCCACAATGATTTAATTTAGTGCCTTTTTTGCCAAAGTTTTGCTTATTAATTAGAAATCAAGATTTAAGATGAAAATTGTAGACTGTGTTGTCAACCTTCATCCATAGCACAGCATRAAGTCCACAGGCAACGCATTTAGCTATGCCAAGCAGGAACAACCCACGCAAACAAGCACAGAAAATAAATATTGAGCATCCGTGTCAAAAATTGAAGAGAAACTAATATAACCTCCCTGTGCTCTCTGAGAGTTCACACTGCTGCTTTTCACACGCGCCAGAGGCTGCCCTGCAAACGGAGAGGAATCCCATTTAGCTGTATTAACAGCAAATGAGCTGGACTGGGAAGGATCCAAATTCATCACCTCAATGTGAAAGAGGCAGCTAAACAATGCATTTTATTTTAATAAATCTCTGCAAGCTCTTTTTTTCTTCCCCCCATTTACATCAAGGTGGCAGTTAGCAACACTGATAAGYAGCTTAAGTGCAAATTACAAAAAAGTGCTTATACTATACAAGAAGGTATTGCCACACCGTCTTGTCCATAAATCCCAGCCAGCAGGTCACATGTCCCTGAAGTTATCGGAGTACAGCTGACAACTGCCCTTGCCTTGTGGCTTACACCATCCACCCATCACCATTTTGTCTCTGCGTTAGTCCCTGGGTAGCCAGCCAACAAGAGAAGCTGCCATATGAACATCTACAAGGAAATACAAACACAGCCAGGCCAGGTAAAAAGATTAATATGGCTGTGTTTGCCCCCATACCCATCACTCTTTTTCCTTTTTTTCCTCTCTCCTTTAGAGCAAGTTAAAATATTTTTCCACACCTATCCACGCTTTTCTGTATGAAACAATCCTAGACCAGGACTTAGATTATTATTGCTATTTAGATTATTCCATGGAGGGCAGCCTGCATAATTAGCAAATGGATAATAATGCAGATAACACATGCACACATACAGTCGTATGTCATTGCTTGGTCAATTATGTGTTTTCTACTCCAATCTGCAGAAAGCCCTTTCAGTAGACAGTTTTATTTACAGTAATATACCCCTACTGCTGAAATAYATATAGGGGAGACTAACAATATGGTTCTTAAAAAAAATGCATTAGTTTTTAATTGCTGGACTGCAGAGTAAGTTAACTCAAGCACCTCTTTTCTGAAAGAGGATAAATGTTACAGTGATAAAACATTGATTGCTTATACCTCAAAAACAAGTTTGTTTACTCCCTTTTCATGAAGATGTGCCTAATAATAACATAAATCCTTCACTGGATTGCATTTTAAGAAATATTACCTCTTAAAAAAAAAAAAAAAGTAGCAATAACAAGGTCCAATTATGTCCTTCAGCATTAAAGAACATGTTTGCTCTGGTGACTATTCAGGGCTTTATATTAGGTAGCAGATCCCTCAGAAGAATCAGCATTTCTAATTGTAGAACTGTTGCTTTTGTAGGTGTTGCCTTTTTTTTTTTTTTTAAGCACATCTGTAACTAGGGGAACAGCCCAGGCAGAGGAAAGAGACGAATGAAAAGGGAGCCAGGTATGTTCAATATATAAAAGGAAAAAAAAAGAAGAGAAGAAATGAAGACTTTCCTTTTCCCCCCTCCCCTCTTCCCTGATAAGGAGCAATAGGGACCAGTAACAGGTTCCACCCGTGGCACGGCACAGCAGTGCATTAAGAGGCCCCAGGACTCAGCTTTCTAAGATCACTGAACAATAAAACTGAAACGTCTTACACCTTCCCAGGCACACACACGTGCTTCCTATACATATAAATGCACAGAGCACATTAATATTAAGAGCAAGTTGGCAGAGCTTTGCTATCTCGCTGGGAGCATCCAGAGGAGAGGGAACCTCCCAACAGGTCTGTTTTGCCAACACGGGAAAATATCCCGGGAAACAAGAGTAATCCAGGTGCTCGCTTCTGGCTGCCGCTCCCGAGGCTCCTCTTCTCCTCAGGGCGGCGGGTGCCCGAGGCGCCCTCGCCATCACCGCGGCTTAAGCAAAGCCGTTAAACCGCTTCGGCCGCGGCTTCTGCCTGGGCGAGGCTTTATTTACTTATTTCCCACTTTGGTCCTGGAGATTTGGGGGTTCCCCCCCCCCCTTGACGAGAGATGGGCTCCCGCGGCGCCGCTCCAGCGCTGCGCGGGACTCGACGCTTTCCAGGGATTTGGGGGCAGGAAAACGCCCTGCCCGGGCGAGCGGCACCCCCGCGACCCCGCCGCGCCCCCCGCCACGCCGCCCCCGGCGCCCCCCGCTCACCGGCTTCGGCATTTTCGCTGGCGCCTCTTCCCTCACTCCCAAGGCAAAGGCTCATGCAGCAGCTGCCCCGCCTCAGCCGAGCGCCCTGTCAGCAGCAGGATAAGGAAGGAGGAGGAGCCGCTCCCGGCCACGGCGGCAGCCCCGAGTGCGGCGCGGGCGGCCCGGCCGCCGTTAAGTAACGCAGGTGGAGCCGCCGCCGTGACTCACGCCCGCCCGCCATGGCCATCGCCGCCCCCTCCGCGAGCGCGGCACCGGCCTCGCCCAGCGCGCGGGCAGCCGCGACGGGGCCCAGCCGCCATGGGGCCCAGCCCCAGCGCGGGGTCCCCGGGGACTGCGGGGCTGCAGGTGCCCGCGGGGCGCCGCCATCCCGCCCGGCCTCGCCATGCCGCCCGAGTCGCCTCGTCCCCGCCGCAACATGGCCGCGCTGCGGGGAGGCGCCCCCGGCCGCGAGCCGCGGCTCTCCCGCCGCGGGGCACCGGGCGGGCGGAGGGCATGCTGCGTGATGGGTGATACCCAGGGGACGGGCTCGTCCCTTAAACTGCCACTGCAGCAATGATGGCGTGAGGGGAAGGGGCTGGAAATGCACCCAGGCTCCGAAACCAGAGAGAACACGGCCCATATGTAGTTACTTTGGCTGCCTGCGGTCTTTCATGAAGACCCAAGGAGAATTAAGGGTGAATTTACAGATGTGCAAAGGTCTGTTTCTCGTCTTGCTGCCTGTCCTCCCGCGTGCCGCGGCTGCTGGCCTCATGCAGAGCCTTGCCGCTTGTTGCTCSCGGGGATGGTTTGTGTTTACGGCATCGTGAGCAACAGCCCGTGGGCCCGAGCCCGTCCTGTGTAGCTGAGCCCAGGGCAGGGGTGTTGGAGCAACTTGTTGCTATTTCATGGGAAGAGGCATGGGCATCCACGGAACTGGTGGATAACAGCTCGCAAAATGAAAAAGATACGGGGCAGGGGTGAGCCTGGAAGGTGCCAAYGGATGGGAGCAAAAATAGGTAGCACTGGCCGTACGGGACTTACTCTGGGGAAGGTGGAAATAGTGTCCTGCCTTGGAGACTCCACTGGGTAGCAGTTAAGGAATTTATTACTGTCTCATGTCTCTGAAAGAAAGAAGAGGGGAGCTGAGCAGGACACTGACTGAATTCACGGTACTGACAGTTCTGCTCCTTCCCTGCTGGATGGTCTTCTGGCATTACCGGGAGATGTGCCATCAGAATGGAGCTATGGGGATGGAGCTATGGGGATGGCAAGTGTCTGAGGAAGTCAAAGAGCTTCCAAGAAAATGCCAGGAATCAAACATGTTTGGGAAACGCATAGCCTCAGTTTCCAGATACTTTCCAGATACTTTCCAAAGATACTTTACTGAAATCAGGTTAATTTCACAGAATATGATTTGTGTCTACATTCTTCTGTTGAGCAATAAGTTTATGCTGGGATTAGTGCCTTATGCAGTAGGATGGTACTGGACATGGACCAAACCATAATATCACTGCATTTTAAATGGATTCTGCTAAGCACAGATATTCCAAAGTACAAATTCCAAGTACAGAATACCTTTAAGAATCCATCAGCTTTTTTCTTAGTTCCCTAAATGGTATTTCTTGGTTTTTGAGTGTGTGTGGAAACATGTAGGTGGGATATTTTCATTCCTTAACATTCAGATTCCACTTGTGATTGGATAAAAGAAAAAGCCCCAAGTAAGTTGGTGCTTGTTTACCCTAGAAAGAGGTGGTTGCATAGATTTTAATGGAAAGCCCGTTTCTGTACTGTGAGATTTCCATCCCGACAATTCTTTCCTGTCCAAAAGCATGTACTAACGTGTACTAGGACTTGATCACCTTGGGGCTCCATGTTGCAGCAATTCCACGTTGGAATGATGCCTCATTTAATAGATCCTAATCGGATGTCTTGAATCAGTCAAACAACTATTTGTTTCCATATGCTAGTTATATATTCAAGTTTAAACCTCTTATTTTATTGATTTACACTTACCATTGCCTCCTAGCTGCAGAACTAAAGGTAAAAGGAATTTAGGTGACTAATAGCTGTTACAACATACAATCTTTAGGTTCCTGTTTGCCACCACACATAACCTTGTGCCTTTCTGCCACAATCATCAGCAATGTATGGGGAGCGATACCTCAGTGGTATCCGTAACTACTAGCTTACTCAACAGAGCTCCACCCAAAATCAACCTGTGTGAACACACTGGACTTACACAGGTAAAATTGTCTTCTGTGGAAGGAACCAGAACGGTTGGAAGGTTGCGGCATATGTTAGAGGCTCCTGGCCTCCTTCCTGGGTTTTTGGCTAGTGCTAGGTGTGCTCTTCAACTCCCTTGCCTGCAGAGCTGAGGTGCCTTGCTGAGCTCCCAGGTAGGCAGCGTTTCAGCCAAGTCCCCATGTCACAGTAAGAAATTCTCTTCTACAGCTGGGTCACAGGATTCTTTATGTTTCTTTTCTCTGGTCTTTTTTGCCACAATGCAGGGGAAGATTTGTGGTACCCTTCTACCCTCATATTTTGGTGGTACCCCTTCTACCCTCATATTTTGGTGGTACTCCTTCTTTTGTGATACCCCTTCCACCTTCTTATACAGAGGTATATTAATCCTTCACAGAAGCAATATAGCTCCCTCTTCCACAAGAGAAGGGCAGAAAGTCCCCAGTTCTCTTGCTTTCCTGACAGGCAGCCTGTTCAGCTTGTGGAGTAGTGTCATCATGTGTGAGACTGATGCACRCTCTCTAAGAATGCTTACGGTTCCCCTTCTGGATTTGGGCAGGGGAACATCAGAGCAGGGCAGAAGGGGTGCAAAGCAATCGGATCCCAGCAAGACAAGGTTTGGGCCAGAACTACAAACACAAAAAAATACAAATATGCAGAAGTAAAAAGGTGAGCCTGGGAAACTTTCAAGTGAAAAACTGGTGGAACTTAAGTACTTCTAAATTTAGGTACTGGCTGAGCAGGAAAGAACTTTTATAGTCAGTTTATTACAGGATCTTCAATCAGGTCTCTCAGCTAACCAAAAGTCCCAAATCAAAACAATACCAGCCTTCACTAGTTCTGATGCTCACAGAACAAGTGCTTTTAAGTTTGGTTCTTAGCTACTTTGGATTTCCACTTTTTTTGTAAAAACTGAGGGRTGTTATTTCTGCACCCCAGGAACTGAAATGAAAAGACAAACAACAAAAAAACAAAACAAAACTTTAGTTCTGCCTTTAGTAATCTTGCTGTTCAGTTTCTAAAGGTAAATTTCAAAATGTCTAAGAAGCAGTAAGTAGAAACTAAAGCAAAGACTTGCATACACAAATCACCTTACATTTATGATGAGTTGTCCAGGTGCATAAGGTTTTAGCAGCCAGAGGTATTCCAGATAAATTAATGCAAATAATTGAATTAGAGATTGTTCAGAATTGTGGCTTTGCATTTTATCTCATGTTGCCTATTTATTGAACTTTCTGAAGCCTTTAAGTTACATTAGTAAGACTTGCTCTAATATAACATGCTTCTAATACTGACGTGCTTCATTAAGAGGTGTGTGGTGGGGCAGGCCGCCCGGTAGCACTGCCTGGGTTAAAGCGTGCAGGGTATTTGGGCCTCTGTGCAGCCATCACTACCCGCAGTCCTGAGGGGCCGCCGTGCAGCCACCACCACCCCGCGCTGCCTCTCACTCTGTCTCAGCCACAAACCCCACGTCCGATTGCCAACGACGGGACTAGCACAGTAACTGAATGGTGGCCGGTGGTGACAGCACAAGGGGAAATGGGTGTAAGTTGAAACACAGGCAGTTCATCTCCAGGTGAGGAGGAACTTCTTCACTGTGAGGGTGGCAGAGCCCTGGCACAGGCTGCCCAGGGACGTTGTGGAGTCTCCTTCTCTGGAGATCTTCCCAACCCGCCTGGATGCCGCCCTGTGCTCTGGGCATCCCTGCTGGAGCAGGGGGTTGGACTAGATGATCTCTAGGGGTCTCTTCCAACCTCAGGCATTCTGTGATTCTGGGAACTGCTTGCTTGCCAGCCACGGTTAATTCAGTGCTATCRATGAGACTTGAATAGCAAGGTTTATAGAGTAACAGAATAATCCRAAATAACTTGAGTTTTTTAGATACCAACTATAGGGATTGTCTACACAAGTCAAGTATTAGTAAAGRGCATATAAATATATATTCAATAACAGGGTAACCACTAAATACAGTATTAACAAAGAGTATGTATAACTATATGTTCAAGAATCGTTTCATCTCTCACCCTACATGATGTCCATATAGGGCAGGGAAGGGAGAACCAGCCCCTCAACTGGTCTCAGAGAAGTTTCRGTGTTGTCTTCCCTCCTCCTTTTGCTTTTGTTAGGGGTTTTTATACTATTGCGTACTAGGTGAGTATTTTTAGTGACTACTGTCATCTCTGTCTTTATTTCTAATTAAAGTTTTCCTGCTTTGCATTGGGCAGGGGCKGGAGGCCAATAAGGTCTGGGAGAAGCTATCGTGAAGTGAAGACTACACTACACAGCCCTCCCCTGTCATGAGTATTTGAGAGGCAGTGGCTCACTTCACTTCTTCTGGCCACAACCTATGGTTCCCTGGAAAGAGGCTGGGGTGAAACAGCTGCTCCACACCACCCTGCTCTATTACAGCCTTGAGGGACAGTGGGCTGGATCTTACCTTTGTCAGGCCAGGCCCAGCTGCATCWCTATTCTTCAGACTGAAAACATGGGCTGAATTTTGCTCTCAAAACCATTTTTTAGCAAGGGACCTTTGTTTTTTAGCTGTCACCTCACAGCAGGGTAGCATTGCTAACAATTTACAGGTGTTACTAAAGCAGAGAAGGTGGTGGAAGGACCTAGATTGCTTAGCAGGTCATTAGCACAACCCAGTTTCTGCTTTCTTCTCTAAAATAGCTCSTGTACCTTACTGTAGTCCACTAAGCCTTTTAGTCACCAAACTGTTTTAAGTCAGTCTCATCAAGCCTGCCTTCCCTGTTTTAAAGAGAAGACCCGTTTAATCTGTTGTTCTACTTAATTTTTAGTAATGTTCCAAGTTGATGTAGCACATTTATGAATTATAAAGTATTTGTCAGAATTTACTCAAGGAAGTCCTATTGC